ATCTGCACACACTGTGATGCCACACAGCTGGTTCAATATCAGCAAAGTTTCCCTTTATATTCATTGTCTTGTGTGGCGATCAGCAGTGATGTGGTGGTTCACTTTTACACTGTGATCTGTAGCCTATAGTTCGGCTTTAGCTTCTAACTATCTTTGTCTTTTTGACCTGTTGTTGCTGCTGAGTCAGTTTGACATCCTGGATATATCCTTCAAACACAGACTGCAGACCCCTCTGTCTGCTTCTCTCTGACATCACTCTTTCATTTGACCAAACCATGATAATATTTCTTCAGGGAGTGCAGTGAGTCAGTCCATGCGTACTCCGACAGCTTGTTGGACCATTGCAAAGGGGCGGGGCTTAGCGAAGGGTCAATTAAGACAGGCGTTTATCTGTCAAACTGTGTAGCAACACTCAGCTCATAGAAAGGGAGTGGGCGTTTAACTGGGACGAGGCTTTTATTTGAAGGTTAACAGTATTTCATAATCAGTATTTACGCTTATGTATTATCGTGTTTATAATGAACTTTTTTTCTACATTTGTGTGTTTCTGTGTTGTTTTCCTTTTATTTAAATCTGTTTTTTGATGCACAAATGGAAATGTGTTTGTACGTGTGCAGGAGACTGAGAAATACACACACAGACACCTTCAGTTTGTCTGGACAGTCGACACGGTTAAAGCATCCTGACAAGTTGACTGTAGATGTGTGGGACGTGTTTGCACTGACTGACAGCTGCCTCGGCCCATCACAGTGGGCCCTGTGGGTGGTCGCAGCTCATGTGGTTCATTCTTATTTTTGTCTGCATGAGTATTTTCTGTCTGTAGCTATACGGACTGAGATGGTGGTGAGTGTAAACCTCATACTGCAGCCCTCAGCGCCTCCCCTTCAGAGAAAAACGGGTGAAATATTTTTACAGACTGTGGTCGGTTCAGACGAGTGCACGCTCCACTGCACCTACGCCGGCCTCGGTTACCGTAGCAACACCAAGCGGGAGGCAGGTGCTTGAAAGATGCAGGATGTTGAGGAGGAAGAAAAGGTGTCACAGTCATGAGTCAACAGAGAAACAGTACAGAGACACAAGTTGTTTCTCTCCTGCAGGAGCACAGAGGAGGTGCAGCTCACACCGCTCGGTCACCATGGCGACTGAGCCTCAGCTTTTTTTGGTGAATGTGTGTCTTTATTTAGTGTGTGTGTGTGTGTGTGTGTGTGTGTGTGTGTGTGAGAGAATGAGCCCGTGGCTGAGCGCTCACTGACATGTTGCTTCCTCCCGTCAGGCCGCCGCATCATTACAGCTCCGTCTGACTCTCCTCTTCCTCCTCTTCCTCCCCGTCTTCATCCCTCCTGCTGCCATTAATCCTCATCACCTCCTCCTCCTCCTCTTCCTCAGTCATGCTTCACTGTGAACATCAGCCGGATCACCTGCTGAGCTAACGAGCTTTTAACGCAGCTAACCAGGCGGGATGATACATCATTTCTAAACTCTGATGTGAACAGATCTGACAGTTTGTCCCTGTGCAGCTCCCGTAGCTGCGCAGCTGTGATGTCTGAACAAGGTTTAACACGCTGTGTGTGTTTTTAAAGACGAGTCACTCGACTCACACTGAAACAACAGGAACATTTTAGTCCTGTTAGTGCCTCCTACAGGCTGCAGTGCCCACTACAGCCACAATATGAACAAACTGAAGACGGGTTTCTTGTGCACAAGCTAGGACTGTCTCATGATTGATTTTTTAAAATCACGATTAATCTCTGAATTTCAATAGTTAATCGCAA